TAATAATAGGCATGCTTGGCTTATTATCAGTCTCAGAGAAAAAGATGTCAACATTATGCTAGTAAATATAATATTTTTCTTTTTATTAATGTTGATTAAATTAAGGAAGCGCCACACTTCCTTAAGGTTTATTCCTGGGATAACCCTAATTTTTATGTTTATATAAAATTACACTTAGATAACAATATAATTATGTTTTCATAAAAATTATTTGACTTGTTACCACTCTGCTTAACATTTTTACATTGATATGCATGACTAAGGTTACCTGAAATTTTATTTTTTGTTGGATTTTTTTTTAAATCAAGATGTTCCCTTAAAACATTTAAAAAATATTTATTTCAATTCCTGCCACAACCAGCCAGGCTTATGGTATTTTTAATGACTAGAGTGGATTTGGAGAAAAGATGGCCTGAATCGTCTTGCTCAAAATGATTTTATCTGTAGACAAATAAGCTTTCTTTTATGCAATGTCTAACAAGTAACATAAGTTCTCATGAGTGTGCCCTGATATCATTGTTGGAAAGGGGACTTTCTAGTTCTCAATTACTTAGCAGACATCTTTGGAGAGGTAACAAGACGACGAATCTCAATAGCCACTGTCTGACCAAGTAAAGAAACTACAAAGAATCTCCGATGACCAGGCCCCTGGCCATCTGTGAATTCTTCCCAGGGTGAGACTCAGTACTATCGATCAGTTACAGCATGTTTCAGCACTATCCTTTCAATTAACATTGTGTTAAAGCTTGAGACTAAGGCTAATCTATTCTTACTTTTGAAGATGGGAGAGATATTTATACAATGACTGTTTAAAAGTGACTTGTGAAAAAGGCAATACAGACTAGGAAATGCTGAACTGAACTAAAAGTGGAGAGACCTGAGTTCTGGTTCTGTTTTCTGTTTGTTTGTTTGATTTTGGTTTTTAATTCCCTGTTAGATTTTGAACTAAGGTTCTGTTAGCCTTATAAAACATGATGGAGATGGTTTTCTATTTTTCTGTTCTCTATGAGATACATAAAATTGGAAGAATTTCTTCCTTTGATATTTGATAGATTACCCTAATGAGGCCAACTGAGCCTAGACTTTTTTTTTTTTGTGGCAGTTTTTTTTTACTATTGATTCTACTTTTTCATGATAAATAAATAAAAGCCATATTTTATAATTGTTCTTGTCTAGATGTATTGGCATAAAATTATTAATAATATCTAATTGTTTTAAACATCTGAAATACTTTTAGATCCTACCTTTTCCTTTCTTAATAGTTTTGGTAAAGAAAATTTTGAAATTATTATTATAAAGACTTCTACTTCTAATAATGCATTCTTCTTTAATGAATATCTTGTCTGCCTTTTATGGAACTAAGCCAACTTCCTTTCTGTTACTATTTAGATGGATTGCATTTCTTTTTACTCTTCTCTTTTCAATTTTTCTGTTTCCTTTTGTTCCCACGTATAATTTTTATAGAAAGTATATACTTGATTATTGGATGCCAATTTGATGAGTTATGTCCCAAAACTAAAGCATTTTACATATTTATATGAGATGTATTTACTACATTTAGGTTTAAGTCTACCATCTTATACATTCTACCATTTTGTATATTCTATTCATCTTTCATATTCTAGGTTTCCTTTTCTCCTCCTTCTTACCTACTTTGGATTGTTAATATATATAAGGTGGGGGAAAGTAGGTTTCCAGTTGTCTGTATGGAAAGTAATACAATAACAAACTCTGTGTTTAATGTAATCACAACTGTAAACCTACTTTTGCCCCACCCTGTATACTTTGCTTTCATCTCACCCCTTCTACTAACTTTCAAGTTATATTTTCTGTTTTATTTATATAATAGTTCCCCTAGAATTTAAACATACATACTTAATTTATCAATATCTAAAGTTAATCAACAGCTTTGTCCTCCTGAGAGAAAACAAACATACTTAGAGTATTTTGACTCATTTATTAAATGTACCTACTTTTTACATTACACGTTATTATTGTCATGTTTTTAATGCCATCTTTTTTTATTTTGAAAAGTATTACCACTATTCTGTGCATTAAGTATTTATTGACCTCTACCCACGTATTTTTTACTTTCTTTGCTCTTTTTTTCCTTCCTTCATTTCCTTTTCTTTTGCCTAAAGAACAGCATTTAAAATTTTTCTTGATGATGTTATTCTTGTGGCCAAACTTCTCAGTTATTGTTTATCTTAACATGTCTTTATTTCACCTTTCTTCTTTAAATTTATTACCCTAGACATAAAATTTTAAACTGCTAGTTTTATTTTTTCTGCACATTGATGCTACCAGTGCACTGGCCTTGTCTTCCGTGTTGTGGTTGAGAGGCTGGCTGGCTGCCTAACTGCCCGTTTTTGCCAGTCATCTAACCTTTCTTCTATGACTGATTTTAAGATTTGTCGTTGTTCTTCTATTCCTGCATTTTTACTATAGAGTGCCTAAGTGTGCATTTCAGTCTAATGTGCATAGTTATGGTAGATTAATGAAGGCAAAACTTTGGTTAGTCAATGTGGGATTTATGGTGAATGAACAATTAATGTGAAGAATCTGGTGCTGTGTTAAAGTCCTGAGTCTGTCAGAACATAAAGGGTAGCCAAGGGTACCATGAATTCATAGAGAATTTCAAAACCATTAGGGAAAATCTGTGTTAGCTCCAATCCCCTGACTTCAATTTTATTTAATAATAATAAACTAGCTACAGTTGTGTAGAATCAGATGGAAACAAAATAATTAACATAACATGGAACCATAAAATAAGTTTAGTATAAATGTAGTTGAAGATTCAGAAAACGAAAGTAGTCATGGTTTTATAGCAGAAAGTAATATATCGTTCTTTAAAGTTTTTGTTACTTAGTTACTTGCCAAATAATATTATAAAACCTTTATGACCACATACTTATGAAATCAGGCTTAGCATATAATGTTCCCTATATGGAAAAAAGAAAAAGAAGACTTCTGTGCACATTAAGGTATATGTGCAGAAATAATTCCATTTGCAGATAGGAACTATACAAATATAAACGAAAGCTCTTTATACAAGTATTAGTTAATTCCTTACAAAACCTTCCTGTCTTTTCCTTCCATTCTACTCCCAATGATTATCTCCAAGTTTATGTATAATTATTTTTACCATGTTCTTTCTTTCAGTATCTTTTGTGTACAGTATCCCATGTAATGTTATTATTAATTATCCTGAAATTTTATGATTCCAATAATTCCTTATTTTATATAAACATTTATTCTAATTTAATAAATAGGTATGTATCCACAAGGTTGATAATTATAGTCTTCATATAGTAATAGATACTAAGAAGTAAGGATTTCCAGATATAGGGAAGGATCAGCATGGAAGCAGAAAAGCAATAATATAAAGACAAGAGTGTTTTGAATTTAGGAAATTGGTAACTGAGGAGATAATAATATTGCAAATGGGTTAGCAATGTATCCACTAATATCTGACTGTACAAGTTCTTGTTGTGTTACTTAAAACCAAAACCAAGTTTAAGTAATGTGTTATTAAGTCCATAGTAGGTACAACCTAAATGAATTAGTAATGTGACATACCCAGAACTGTGCCTAGTACATCAAAAGATGTTGCAATTAATTGTTATTCAGGAGAGAAATCTCAGTTGAGTGGTGATGCCAGATATTTAAATAAAAAACGAGTTGAAAGTAAAAAGGAGGGTGATATGTAGAAGTAGTAAGAGTAAATACCATATTAACCTGTTTGGCTATAAGAATTATTATTAAGTGGCTTCATGAAATTGAGAGGGAGAACTTTCAGAATGTGAAAGACTTGAGTATGTTTGATGCTCACAGACTGAGCCAGTGAAGAGGAAGAAAAAGAAGATAAAGGAAAGAAACTTAATGATTTATAGAGGTCCAGGAGCAAGAGAGAGGACTGATCTAGAATTAGATGGAATGCTTAATATTAGGCGCTGGAGGGCATAGTTTTCCAGAGTGATGGGAGGAGGGACTAAGGAAAGAATAGTGCAAGCACAAGCAAGTCTTCTTGTGTGGTGTCAAGAAGTTAAGGGAATTAAGAAATATATCTTCTCTTGGAGAAATGAGAGGTGAGGCTATCTGCTGAGAGGGAAATTGTAGCAGAAAGCATTAGAGATAGTGAGATTGGAGATTTAAAGACAGTTGGATAAGGTTTGAAACAGCTGCTGTGGCAAACAAGAAAGAGCAAATTGGGAACCATGAAAAATACTGTCAGGTAGGACTGTTGGCTCATATGAGGTTAGAGTAAAAAATTCATTGCATCACTAATTGACATGGTTGTGTACTTTTGTCTAGCAGCAATCAGTGGATAAAATGAATTTGAATTAATGTAGAGTTGAGATTTCATCAGATTGTTGTCATTTTGTTAGCAGTACAATGAGGCAGTGAGGGTAATGTTTTGTCAGGAGAATGACGGAATGAGGAAGCATGAAATCTAACTTGGACATGTATAGTGAGGAAGACAGGTGGAATTTCAACCACAAGAAGAAAGTAAGGCTCAAGAGAATTGAGACCTCAGAAAGTCAGAAGAGCCTGTCTATCGACTTATTAAATGAGAGACTTTCAGAGCCAGGAACTTGTGTTAGGTCAGAGATATTTTAATTCGTGATTCAAATGGTGAATGAGGACTGGACCCTCAAAAAGTCATGTTGAGGGGGTGTCAGAAGTGGCTTCATCTAGCCTTGTAAAATCAATGGAATTCCAAGATCAACGTAGTTGCTTCACTTTGCTCTGAATCCAAATTTCGTAATACGTTACTTAAGCCATTCAGTTGACAATGAATCATATACTGAAAATCATATCTACTTTATTCTTCTGTAATATTAAAGAACTGCAAGTACTTATGTTTCTATGCTCCAATTCCATCGCAAATTGGATGGAAACACTCCAGCGCACTGGCATTACCTAGATGTTATGTAAAATGGGTCCTAAATATTTACTTTATAGCATATTTTACACTATTTATTTATTTTTTTAATCACACTTGTTGCAAGGGTTACTATCAAACTCCACTCATTGGGCCAGAGACCGTCGTGGTGTCTGCGAAAACTTGCGCCCCGTGTAGTACACTACCTACACTTGTGAGTTCATCAGCCACCAGCGGATATTTTACTTTATTAACACTCAAATTTCTTTTCTATTCTTATAATTTTTAAGCATTTTTGATTTTTAAATATTCATGTGGACTTTATAACTCAAATGTTTTTCCACCAAATTGAAATTTTAATTAATTATTTATTAATTAATAAAGCTCCAATTCTAGCTTTCAAATAATTTTAAGACCACTATGAATTAGTTTGTGAATTGCCAGCTCCACTTATAAGTGGGGCAGTTTTTTCATATGTGCATTAACACACACATGCACACAATGTCTTCAAGGATATTTATCATGGAAAAGCATTACCATGAAAACAATTACAATTACAGCAGTTACTAGATGTGTGTCCAAGATTAAGTTTCCACTCCCAGTATCTCCTTGTCTCAAAGAGTGAATGGCTTTTCAATTCATGAACTGTCAAGTTGTCAGTGTTTATTCTGCAGCCAGTGGTAAGTGTATACAATGCCTGCAGCCTTATCACCTCGAGCAGGGATGCTGTCAGCTTTCATAAACTAGGCAGGGTTTTGTCTGCTTAGGATTTGAATGTGAGATTGACCATGTCCCAAATTTTGGACTAGTCTTGTCTGTCTTGGCATTATATGAGTGGAGGTTCATTTTTCTGAGTTTGGCAAGAATATGAAAGGGATTACTTAATTTCCACTGATGCTGATCAAAACAAGAAATTTCCTGCGTTGGTATTGTTTACATACTCATTTACTTTGATGTAAGGTGCTGTTTTATTCAATAGATGGTGTGTTCAAGGTATTAGACATTATGTATCCTTGAAGATAAATTCAGGTGAAGCTTAAATCCAAATTTCTAAATTATCAAGGTTTTCTGTATCTTTAAATTTTCTCCAAAAATATGGTTGTTCTGGTTTCTATTCATCACAATAGAAAGAAGAAATAATTTAAATAATAACGCTCTACACAACCTTCTAAAACTAACTTTATTATAGATATAGGAAGTAAATATTAAATATTTAATTTAAAAGGTCAATTTTTTGGGTTTTTTTAGAAGAGGAATTTTACATGATAGGTTTTTTTTTCCCTTATATGTCTTTGTTTTGCTGGGCTTTGCCAATGCCACTCACTTTTTTACTATGAAGACTGAGTTCCAGTATTAAAATTTAATAATCTAAGCTTAATGTCTTTGAACTTTATCATAATAAGAAAATAAGACCTGGAAAAAATAGATTAAAACTGGTTTTACAACCAATCTTAATTGCATAATAATGCTAAGTATCTTCATAAAATTGTTTTTTTATGTAAGCTGATGAAATGGTACAACAGAGATTTCTAGCTCCTAGGTATAATTGTTTTTCAGACAGATTTAGAATTTTTACTCAAGGTCTTCAACATTAAATTTACAAATAAAAAAGCTATAGCTTTGCATTCATGGGAAAAATCTAATGTACTACTTTGCAAAATATATAAATTGTCATTGGTTCATTTTTAGTGAACTGAAATATTTTACCACCTTTTACTCAGAAAGGAGAAAGAACAGCCTTGCCTTCAAATGGCCAGTGATTAAATATTTTACTGGTATTCTTCAACGTTGTATTTGTACTATGATTCTGCAGTATCTAAAATAACATTTGCTTTTCATATTACTCTGCTTTATGTTTCCTTGAAGCACTTTTTGTAATTGAAACTATATGCATCCGTATAAATATATACATATATAAAACTCATATGTGTATACACACATAACATATAAAATATGTATTATATATAGACACATAAATATAATAAATTTACTTGTTTATAGCCTGTCTTTTCCATTATGGTGCTACTCCATGAGACAAGAATGTTTGTTCCTTGCCATATCCTCAAATGTAAGGCATATAGTAGTAGATACTTATAAAGTATTTAATGAATGACTTAATGAATACATTTTCATACTGACATAAAAATCTGCAGTATTCTTTTCTACATCTATAATAGCCATATTTTTCCTTTATTCAAGGAAAAAGTAATAAGTATTTGGACATAAATTAATTGTTGACCTTCCACATTAGATAGTGAATGTGCAATTACAACATTTCCATCATTCTATCCTCATACCTAGGAAAGTTGGCTGCTTGGTCACCAAAAATATGAGTAAGATTATGTATAATTTCTTTGCAGGTATTCGTAGAGGATAGGGAAAAAGCTTGTTGATTATTCCAAGTAAATGGTTAGACATATTATTCTAAGCAGAATGGAAAGACCCACAAAAGTGCAACCTGAATAGGAATTATTGGTATTTGTAGTTCAAGATAATTTTCTAAATCTAGGCTAGACTTAGTATGTTTTAATGGGAAAAAGTACTTACCCTTTGCTGTCAGACACACTTGGTCTAAAATCCTGACCCTGCTACTTACTGACTGTGTGATTTTAGGAATACTAAACCCAGTGGGTCTCAATTTCTTTATGAAATATAGATAATAATACTATCCCGGAAGATTGTTGTAAAGATCAAATGAAATAATATTTGTAGGTTATATAATGAGGAATAATTAAAATAATGCTAATTTGCAAACAGACAGTAATATATGTCAACATTTGCCAATACAAGTAATACAGTCTAGTTACTATTCTGACCAGAAATTATGATGTGAGCCGGAGAAAGTAATTTAATTTTAAGTGTAATTGAGAGGTCATTATATATGACAATCACAATAAGAGCAGGAAACCCTAACCTTTTTGTTTTGTTTAATGTCCTTTTGACTCTAAAATTCTACAAGTCTCTTAATCAAGGCTTGGAAGCATTTACAGTTCAATGGGAAGCTAATAGCAGAGAAAAGATCTAGTAGTCAGTATAGCTTGCGTGAACCCAGTCTTTATATTTAAGCCCACTTTCAGAAAATCTGCCATCCTTATTTAATGTCATATTTCTAACAATGATCTTGTATCTTCAAAGGTTTAGATAATGGAGAGAATCTAGAATATACTTTAAACTGACAATATTGTGAAAACTACAGTTTTTTCCCACCCTCTTTTATATATAATATATGATCATGATATATTTAGCTCCATATGATTCTATTTTGGCCTTCAAGAAAATATTTTGTACCATAAAGTCATGTGATATTGAATTTAGTACTTTATAAAATACCCAACATGTTAGACACTCAAAATTATTGACCCCAGCAGTTTCCTGATGGGTAGGGGAACTGTGCACTTTTGAGAAGTACACCCTGTGGACTGGATTGTTTCTGCTCCAGAATCCATCTGCTATTTCTACACAGAAGAGCAAATGATAGCCATATCCAATGAGGTTTAGAGTTACTCTGACCTTTCTGGAAGAGGTGGCTGTTACTTGTTTCTGTTGAGATGACTTCTGGGTTAGTCTTGCTCCAGGAAAGCAGCATTCACTGCTTCTTGGAGAGAGCCGGAACTATCACTTCTGGTGGATAGGATGATACTGACTTCTCCAATGTGGGGCAGATACCTGATAGAATACAATTCCTGTCCACATTTTGACAAAAAAAAATCCAACAACTTTTCTGGAAGGACTACAAAATCCAGACTGTTTGCTTGGCAGATTACTTTAGCACTTTTGAAGAAAGCGTTTATTGTGAGGAAAATGGCTTCATTGGCATATAAACTCTCAATGATGTTTGAGAGACATGTATGAGCTCAGAGAGACCCAGAGAGCCTGTGGTTCACCTCTAGTTCACAAGCTGATGACTGACTGATTGGATTGAGTTCAGATCATAGCAGATGCAGAGGAGGCAAGGTTTGCTTCCCTTCTTACCTCACTAGACATTATCCATAGTGGCTCACACTGGAATCTACCTCACTCCCATGTCAGACACACCACCACCAGTGAAGCTCCAGTTCAGCTCAAAATCATCTACATGATGGGGTGGTATTTAACCATCCACTGAACAATCCCATTTCTAGTTCCAGCCACAAAGGGAGGTTCATATTCAGGACCCACTACCAGAGCAATAATTATTAAAGCAACCTAAATTAGAATAGACAGAATTGAGAAAAATTTACTCCTTTATGTACTTCTTGGCAAGGCCTCATTGGGACTGAACTGCAAGTAACAGATATCAAATGTTTATTTCAAACAGGTCAAATGAATGGGCAGACGGTGGCAGGAAGGGGTTACCTAGTAAGTCACTTGTCCCTTAATACTGGAAGCTCTCTATAGGGACATTCACGATATGGCAGGTCCAATTAAATCATAATCCCAGGGTCTTCTTACTAGACTTCAAATTATCTGCTTTTCTTTTACCTCCAAATCTCTCTGTAGTCTGTAGAATATTTGATTATGTCTCTCTTATTCTCCAAGGCTTGTATTGACTCCTTCAGTGATTTACACATTCTCCTTTAACAGGAACTAGGTTTATACATTAGAATGATTATAAAAACTTATGTAGTCTGGGTGTATAATTTCACCAGATTTGCTAATAAAGCTTTCATAACTCATATGCTGATGAATAATTGAAATTGTAATCATGGCTTTTGGTGACTGTTGATAGTTTGCCTTCTTCCTGCCTTTCTTTGCTCCATTAATTTTATTTTCCTTTGTGACCAGCACACCTGACACACTTAAGTAGTCAAGACACCATTAAGACTTTAGTCCTAATTAAGCTGCTCCATTTTCCAGTGACTAGAAAATGAAAGGACTGATATTTGCTCATTTGTTTAGAATAGAAACTATGTTATTAAGAAAAACTTTTTTGAGACTTTGTGATGGTTTGGATGTGTAAACCATTGTTCCCTTTTAAGTTTTCACTATTAATTTAGGTCTTGCTACTTCCTAGGTTTCCTTCCTGACAAAAATATGTTGCAGTGAAAACAGCAACACAATTGTTGCATTTCCAAGGAGCAGAAGCAATTGATTTCATGCTAAAAGAAATATGTAGATAGTGTGAAAAACAGAAATTTGCTGTTTGTCAATGGATCTTCTTCCCCCAATAGCATGGAGACAGTTAACTTATGGTTGTGACAACATGTTTCTCATGATACTCCTGGCCTTGAGGGAAGGATATTCACATGTAAAGTATTTTTACTCACACCTCAAACGCATACA